CCATCCCCATCCCCATCCCCATCCCCATCCCCATCCCCATCCCCATCCCCATCAATCCATCATTGTCCTTTACATGCTCCCTTGATGTCTCCGATTCACCCATTTCTCTTCATCTCCACTGCCATCTTCCTCTCTGTTCTAGACGACGCCACATGGCCTCCACATTCAGTTCTTCTCTTCCCAGTCTTAGGCGTTCACGGTCCATTTGCCTGAAGCTGGCTGATGGGCTTAAACAATAGATCAGATATTCCACTATTCCCAGACCATTGTAGTTGTCTTCTGTTGCATGTGGAGCAGTATAAGCTCCTTGCAATGGAGTAGGAAGCCCTGCAAGCCCTGTCCCCTGCCTTACTCCTTGCTAGATTAACCAATAAGCAAGGTGAGCATGGCTTAGTTGTGCTTCCTTACTAAACTGTACTGATCAGTTTCATCTTTTTTCCATCACATCAAAGATTTTGCTCCCAGGTATGGTGAGTATCTCTCTCTTTCCTAACCTCACAGTACCTTTCCACAGAATGAAAGCCTTCTTCTGAATTTACAATCATTGACAGGGACAGAGTGCCCAGGAAGCAAGGTAAGCACTGGCTTACTTATGTTTACTTATTCATCACTACAGTTTACCTTACCTAATCTCATTCATCTTGTTCCTTCGCCTCATGTTGCCATAGGTTGGAAACAATGGTTTCCTTAGCTTTCTGTTTTAGAGTCTTTTTTTTTAAATTATGTTATTGGAGGCTCTTACAACTCTTATCACAATCCATACATGAATTGTATCAGGCACATTTGTACATATGTTGCCATCACCATTTCCAAAACGTTTTTTTCTACTTGAACCCTCAGCAGTCTTCTTTCTTTCTTAAATACTTTTATTGGAGTCTCATACATCTCTTACCACAATCCATACATTCATCCATGTGTCAAGCACATTTGCGTGTATGCTGCCACCATTTTCAAAGCATTTTCTTTCTACTTGAGCCCTTCATATCAGCTCCTCATTTCCTGCCTCCCTCCCCCACTTACCCTCCCTCCCGAACACTTGATAAGTTATAGATTGTTATTTTCATATCTTACATCATCCTCTGTCGCCCTTCACCCACTTTTCTGTTGTTCGTCCCCCTGGGAGGGGGTTATATGTTGATCCTTGTGATTGATCCCCCCCCCCACCTTCCCCTAATCCTCCTGGTATCTCTTTTCTCATTGTTGGCCCTGAGGGGTTTATCTCTCCTGGATTCCCAGTATTGTGGGGTCTTATCTGTAGCAGGTGCATGCTCTTTAATGTTTTGGAGTCTTTGCACCTGCTTTTCTCATTGCAAAGTTTTCACCTTGGCTCGTCAAGGGCTAAAGGCAGGGGCAGCTCTGTGGAAAGGAATGCCATGGCAAGCACTCCTGTATAAACATCTGATACCCATTTATCAGTTCTAAAAGACAAATCGCATTTGCTAATTCGTTAGCACATCATAACACTACATGAACATTAAAGCTGCACTTTCTTCGCTTAGGCTGAACATTTGCCTATGATGCATTTAAAGCATTTAAAAAGTTTCAGTGTCTTCTATTTCTACTCTCAGTAGAGTAAAATCATATTCTGCCTTGACCTATCTAATCCCTCAAATACAAAAATATTTGTTTTAGTCCTATTGTAAACAATTTCTTTTTTATATTGTGTTTTCAGTAATGTAAGGCATGCTGAGATCAAGAAAAAAAAGTTTATTTTAGGTAATAGGGATATTGCTACCATTATGTGGGACATATTTGTCCCAAGGGAACTCTGGTGGTAGGTGGCATTGGTGTGGTGAGATCCATTACTTCAGATTCACTAAGTTATACATTTGTCTTCTAGGCAGTAGCATGTTCTACAACTAGGAGAGCAACTTCCCAAGAAATCTACGAGACTGAAATGTTAGTGATCAATATTCCTTAGCAATGATTTGGCCTCAATGCTGCAAGTACAGTTGATAGTGGAAAGTCTGGTAGCTCTAGAAATGCTTCAGTGGTGCCCCCTTCAAGTGCCATGCCTGATCTATCTTACATGACTCTGGGTCAAGTCCTTCTCGTCACCAGGGCTCAATTGAAAGCATGTCTACCAAGAGAGGCTTTCTCTAATCACTCTACCTTCCTGTTCTCACGGGTTACACTTTCCTCCCAGTCTTTATTCATAGCATCTTCATTCAATGTCATCTTTAAGTATTTGTTTACTTTACTTTCCATATGCCCCCAGTTGTTTGATATGGAAAATGTAATAGCTCTAGGAAGTCTCTGGACAGATAGACCATTAGCCAAAAGCTCATGGATTCTAACAGACCTAGAGACTCCATTGATGAAATGCCTGGAATCGTGCTTCTGAAAGGTCTCAGAGATCTTGTGGGGCAGTTCTGCTCTGCACGCTTGAGTTCTCTATGAGGCAGAATCAACTCAATAACAGCTCACATCGCCTCCACTGTTACTGTGCGCACCAAGAGAACAAAGAACCGGTCTTTGTCATGGCAAACATACAGCAGTACAGAAACTCTCGTGGGTAATTTTGCCAGAATCTTGCAATTGCTATTTTCTAAAAATTGTTTGCATATCAGGTTTTTGTTTATGGAATCATGAGTTGTAAATTTACCGGAAAGACTTATGGTTTAAATCATAGCACTTGTTAAGTAGGTCACCTATGTTTATCTTTTACAACATGTTTGTTTTTATGTACTGGTTTTCTCTAGAGGAAGTGATCCCATTCAGTACTAGTACCATTTTAGTACAGCTATCGCTCCCTCTCCCTCCCTTCCTTCCTTTTTCTAATTACAAACTTTCAGACTTACTTGCCTTGAGACCTCTGATCAGGATCTGTGTTTTAAGTTTGAAGTCTCAGGAAATAGGTACATGCATGGATTTTATAAATATGCATCAAGATGTTGCCCTGTGCTTTTAGGTATTTGTAATCTGGGACATTGTAGAGCATCCAGCTTCTTGTACAAAGAAGATACTTTTAGCAAAAGGGCCTGTCTTTGTACTGTTATTTCTGCTTATTAAATATGAAAGGAGATCGCTTACCGAATCTTTCCTTCGATAAGTTGCTGAGACAGCCACATCAGGGATTAACCTAGAAGGCAGCCAGACTCACCCCAGAGGTACATTAAGCCTTCCAGTTGTGTTGTAAATCATCCTGAAGGCTGCTGAGTGCACTCAATTACCCAGGACCTGACATTAGGGGTGTGGGAGAGAGTGGTGGCCCATTATCAGTGAGAATATTTAAGGAACAGACTTTTTAGCCATGGTGGGGGGGAAACTCCATGAATAATACAGATTAGTGGGGCAAACAATGGCCCCATGCTAGGTGCGATGTCCCCAGATAGAGCCTTATAAACAGAAATCTGATCAATATTCTTCCGCAGTGATTCGACCTTAATAATGCAATTTTAATGAATATTTCTCTGTGAAAACATCAATAAATGCCGACAAAGCCATTTTCCAGGTTAAAATTTGCTCTCAGTACAGTAAGGTCCTTAAAGTCTTTGCTTTCTGAGGCATGGCCTGGTATTTTAGCAAACGTGCACGTACTCCTGGTTCTGTAATGGAGAACATCTACATCAGAGTCATGACCGTGCTGAGAAAGTTGTCTCTAGAATAACTCCCTAATTGATTATCTGTCGAGGACTGAAGCACATTTGTCGGCACGTGTTTTGAACCTTTTACACTGATGACAGAGCTAGTTTAACCCTTTGTCTTCCTGTGATTTCTTCATCAGCACCACTCACAGTTTCCTTTTTGGAGCACTTGCTGAATTACTTGACAACGCAAGGTAAGGCTTCTATGCAAGGCAACGATTACTGGCGGAATGTTATAACATTTTTATCAACCTGAGTGATAAAAATGATGTTACTTTTTCCCCACCTGGAAATTTCCTTGTGGCCTGATTTCCTAAAAAATAAGTGGATTATAGGAAAAAAAGAAAAAGTGAAAGAAAAAAGTAGTCAACTTGTATTTGGATTACAGGGAAATTAGGTTTCTGTTTTGTATTGATAATCTTGTAATCAGACACTCATCTGCATGATTTTTGTGAGCTATAAATGTTCACTATGCCTTGAGACATGTAGTGTACAAGACAGAGCATAGTAATATGTGATTACATATGTACAATGTGTAATAAATGAGGAGAAGAGCCCTGGTAGCATAGTGGTTATTTGTTGCACTGCTAACCACAAAGTCAGCAGTTTGAAAGCACCAGTAGCTCTAAGAGAGGAAGAGGAGGCTTTCAATTCCTGTAAAAAATTACAGCTCTACAGGAGAAACATAGAGGGACGGAGAGGGAGGGGAACACATCCTGGCCCACGAAGGCCTGAGGATGATATTCCTACTCAGAGCAGACAATGCACAGACAGGACCTTAGGGTTGGCCTCACCACAAGGCACGACATCCCTCACTGAACCATAGTGCTACAGGGGACAATACTGGAGACAGTGCGGAAACTGTGCCCAATCTGACCCCATCACACGGGGTGAAACACTAGGGGCATGCAACAGAGCAGCCAGGGGAGCAAAATGATGAAATCCCCAGGGAATACCAAAAATAGACTTTGGAGACAGAGTATGACACCCCATCAGACTCTACTGGATAACACTCCTAAAGGCCAACAAACAGATCTTGAACTATTTATGGGCCTCTCCATTTTTGTCAGTGGGTTTCTTTTTGTTGTTGTTATTTTGTTGGTTTTGACTTCCTTTCTTGTTTTGTTTGGCTTTGCCTGGGTTTTTTTTTTTTGTGCTTATTAATGTCTCTGCATGTCTATCTAGATAAGTTAGGTGGGATCAACAATTCAGAGACGAAAAGAACAGGACCAATGGTTCTGGGGGGATACGGGAGAAGGGGAGGTAGGAGAAAGGAAGGGGAATGAGGTTTGGAACCAACCCAGGGACAACGGAACAAGTGAACTAAAATTAATGGAGAGAAGGGCGTAGGATGCCTAGTGGGGCTTAATCAAGGGAAATGTAGCAGCAAGGATTTACTAAACCCAAATAAAGGCCAAACATGATGGTAGGAAAAGAAGAAAATAAAAGGACATAGAGGAAAGAACCAGGAGGCAAAGGACATTTATAGAGGTCTAAATACAGGCATGTACATTTGTAAATATACTTATATATAACAAGAGGGGAATAGATCTATGTAGTTACATCTATATGATAAGAATTAAGTTTGCAGGTGGACATTGGGTTTTGTCTCAGGTACTCCCTCAATATAAGAAGACTTTGTTCTAATAATCCCGCATTCTGTGATGCTCACCTTCCCGACACAATCACATAAGCAAATGTGGTAAAGAAAGCTGATGGTACCCGGCTATCAAAAGATATAGTGTCTAGGGTCTTAAAGGCTTGAAGATAAACAAGCAACCATTTAGTTGAGAAGCAACAAAGCCCACATGGAGGAAGCACACCAGCTTGTGTGATTATGAGGTATCAATGGGATCAGGTATCAGGCATCTAAGACCCAGAACAAAATCATATCCAATGTGAATGGTGGTGGTGGTGGTGGTGGTGTGTGTGTGTGTGTAGTGGAGACCCAAACTCCATATGTAGATAATTGAACATCCCCTCACAGAAGGGTCACAAAGAAGAGATGAGCCAGTCAGGGTGTAATATAGCACCGATGAAACACACAACTTTCCTCTATTTCTTTAATGCTTCCTTCCCAACACTATCATGACCTCAATTCTACCTTGTAAACCGGATTAGACCAGAACATGCACACTGCTATAGATAAGAGCCCAAAACACAGGGAATCCAGGAGAGATAAACCCCTCTAGGCCAACAATGAGAATAAAGAGGATAAGGGGAAGGTGGTGGGAGAATAAGGGGAATCAATCACAAGGATCAACATATAACCCCCTCCCAGGGGGACAAACAACAGAAAAGTGTGTGAAGGACGACAGAGGACAATGTAAGATATGAAAATAATAATCTATAGCTTATCAAGGGTTCAAGAGCAAAAGTGGGTAGGGAAGGGAGGGGGCAAAATGAGGAGCTAATATCAAGGACTCAAGTAGAAAGAAAATGCTTCGGAAATGATGGCAGCATGTGTACAAGTGTGCGTGACACAATGGATGAACGTATGGATTGTGATAAGATGTAAGAGCCCCCAGTAAAAACATTTAATAAAAAAAGAAAAAACAACAAAAAAATGTTACAGCTCTACCCTGGCCCAATGGGATCTCTAAGTTGAGAATGTCTCCATGGCCATGAGTTTGGAGTTTTATGTCTTAAGGATTCACCTTTTGCTTTGTATGTTCATTGAAGACTTTATCTAATTGAATTGTATATTAAGATAAAAGAGCTAATAGTTGTTATTTTCTTAATGTGTTCTAAGCACTTTGTGACTATTAATTCATTACTCTTTACAATAAAGCACCGAGGTAGGGATTATCATCATCTCAGTTCTAGAATCCTCAGATATAGAGATGGATGTATGAAGAGCAAGGCCACATAATATTTTTTCAGAGCAAGAACCCAAATTCACACTGCCTGACTATATCATTTTCTTCCCCCATTTCATTGTTTTTTTTGATAAAAGTCTTGACGTCTAAGGAAACCTCTTCAACAACTTATGGTCCAATTATCAGTGTATTTGATCTGGGGCCTTAGGAGAGGGTCAGTTATTCAGCTCAATTGAATATGGCACCTGATTGGTTTTGTATTTGGTCTGTGCATCATTTCTGCTGAAAATATAGTCCACACAGGAGGAAGAAGGATGCAGCTGCTAGGTCAGGAATCTCAGTAAAAAGATCAGAATCTCCCGCCAACTTGTTGTCAACTGTATATCGGAATTTGTGTCTCTCTCGATTGTGGCAGAGCAGCAAATTTAATGAGCTGAAGCAATAGCCACAATTAAAAACATTAACACTGGGATGTGAATCGTTGCTGTTAGGTCTGCCGTGCTGCCTGGTCCTACATCACCCTCACAGTTGTTACCTGGCCCGAACCCATTGTTGCTACCTTTATGTCTGTTCCTTTCATGTCTGTTCTTTTTGCTGACCAAGCATGATGCCCTTCCCCAGGGACTGATTCCTTACTAACAACATGTTCAGAGTATGTGAGATAAAGTCTCACCATACTTGCTGCAAAGGAACATTCTGGCTGTACTTTTCCCAAGACTTCTGGGAGGCCATGGTAGATCCAATATTCTTCATTAAAGCCACAATCCAAATGCATCAATTTTGGGGGGGCTTCTCTAGTCATTGTCCAGCTTTTATATACCTGTAAGGCAATTGAAAATACCATGCCTTGGATCAGATACATCTTAGCCTATGCATATTACTTCATAATTTACTTTTCCTTCACCTTAAAATAAAATATATGTTGAAAACCTATGACTTCTAGATGTTATAAAAATGATTGTTATTCCTATCCATTTTGCTGAGCTTTTTGTATAACTATCACTAAATTCCATCTCTTAGATTTATGAATTTCATGCTTGTAACTTTCAAAAATTATGAGTGATCACAGGTCTTGGCATATAAATGCAGAGTGAAATATTTAAGTAATTGTTTTTAAAGCAATTCAAGTGAATGGCTCTATTGTTTGATACCTGACACCAGATTATACCTCACATAAGAAATTTGGATTAATGTAAGCTTTTTAAAGCATAATTTCATATTAAAGAAATGATACTTTCATATTATTTCCAGAGATGCAGGGGCTGCAAGACTTGATGTATTTTCAGGTGAGCTGATTTGCTTTCTTCCTTTTTTATTTTTAATGGAGAACCCTGTAGTTATTGTACTTTTATTGTATTTCTTGAAATCAAAACACACTGTAAAGATTTTTAATGTAATCTAAGTGCTTTGTGACCACCATAACCCTGTGGGGAGCCAGTATGAGAAAAATTATGCTTTGAAGAATCAAATCGTTCCTTTGCTAAAGGACCCATTTATATAATTAGGTCTTCCAGGGTTTCGTGAAAGCATTAGAATGATTTGGAGCCGTTTGTCTGCATGGGGAAATATTTTATTAAAAAATGTATTAACTTCATCGTTTTTCACAATTAAGCAAGCATCATTCCTGACGTATCACAGTTTTAAAACTCATCAGTGCACAGTTACTGGTCGAGGTTTAGAAAGTCCAAACAAACATTCTCCCTCCTTCACCTTATTTCTAGCCACCAAGTATTTATTGTGCTAATTAGTTAATCTCATTAGACTATAATCCTAGGTCCTGCGAAATAGTTCTTTAGTGATTCTTGGTACAGAGAAGGTCTGTGATGTTGTCACTGCTCCTGACTCCAATTCTCCCAGTTCTCCTTTATATATGAGGAAGATTTTTTTTAAATGTGGAAAAAGGGACTTAAATGATAATAAACTCCATGAACTTTTTGAAGCTCCAGCGTATTGGCTATTGGTTACACGTGAGAGGATGTGACCCAAAGTGTACATCTCCTTCTTCATTAACAAAGCAATTCTGTTCAATGAAGTGTCTCCATGCTTAACATTCTGAACTACAAGGGTGCTGATAATTCTTGAGCCATCAACTCAAGATGGCTGAAGAAACATAGTCAATGGCATCTCTGGAAAGTTTGAGAAAGTAAATAAAGCACCAACTTTCGTTACTGTTAAGTTCTAGGTTAGTATGTAGTTTACTATGAGGGCCAAATGAACTTGCTTTCAAACTCAGAGTCAAGGTAGGTGGATCTGAAGTAACCTCACCAATTGATTCTTCCCCAATTAATCCTCCACAGAGGAAGAGGGGAAGAATGTTGATAGGGATAGAGAAAAGTAGTACTAATTAAACTCCATAGCATGTTGGAGAAAATGACAGTATTAGAAGAAGAAAATTCCTTTCTTATGTACCCAACTACATAGCGTATCATGGGCATCTTACAGAACTCAAAATATAGAGGAAACTAAAATCATGACAGCTGTTATGCTTCACATTAAGGAGCTAAGATTGGAATAGGGATGTGATTTTTGTCAAGAAGTATAGGAAGAAAAGTCTCATCTGAGAAATCACTATGCCGTAAAGAATAAAGGTAGAATATTTTTGAAAGGTAGAATATTTCTGACAATCATTTATTCAATATCAATTTATTCAGTGCCTACAAAGAATGGGTCAAACAACTATTCTAGGTGGTGGATAGAGGACTGAAGATTGAATAAAGCATTTGATCAGAGACCTTGCTTAGTAATGTTTTTGTGAACAAATAAATGTATAAACCACCTATTCATGTTTTAATTTATTTTTTTCATTGAAATGACTCATAATACAGCTGAAAATTCTATTTTTAGATATTGATTTCCTATAAAATAGATTAGTTGTATAAAACAGTCAGTCTTATACATCACTAAGGAAAATTGGTCTGGGGATGGGTAGTTATTATTATTTTTTATTTCTACTCATAACAACTCTGTAGGACAGAGTAGAAATTGCCCCTTTGGGTTTCCAAGATTTTATTTTTTTGAATAATAATTTAAATAATATTTGAGTAATAATTGACACATATTACTCATTCCAATCTATCCCTTCCCTTCCCATACAGTTTTGTTGTTTAATCCCATTGGGTGGGGCTATGTGATCATCGATGCTGTCAACTCCCATAGCCCTTCCCCCTTTCCTCCCCCTTCCCCTCTCACTTCTCACAGCCTGAGGGAACCTTTATTCCAGTCATTGTCTCTGAGGGGTCATTTATCTGACTACCATATTGGACAATTAATTTAAGCATGAGCTAATTTCAAATTATTCATAGAGGTGCATTAACTTGTTGAATATTCCTTAAGCGTCCTCAAAGTCATTTGGAAAGAGTCATGCGTGTTTTGTTTGTTAGTGGTACTGTCAGGTAAGCTTACGCAGCTAACCTCTTATATTCATGGCCTTCTGCAAACCAGGTGCTCAGAATTTAAACTCTGGTGTTGGATTTTATTATTTACAATCTGTGGATCACATTGGCTGGTGCGCTCCTTCTTTGTGGATTTAGCTGACACCACACTTAGATGGCTGCTTGTTTGAAGACAAGCCGTTAAGATTGTGATGAATTGTATGAGCCCCAATAAATTGATTAAAAAAAAAAAAAAAAAAAAAGGCCCCAGACGCTGTGCTTTCGGATAGCCAGGCATCTGAGTTCTTTACCACACTTTGCTATAACTCCGTATCTTCAGTGATTTCTTCACAAGGGCGGGTATTGAATAGGGTCATATCATAGATCTAATTTTTCTTAGATTAGGGCTATGATTGTGATCTCAAAATCCATTCTATGGATGATATGTGTTCCTAGCTCATTTTGGAAACATTATTATTATATTACAATAAAGGGACATTATAAATCATTCCCATGGTGTATAATGTATTTCAATATATAGTAACATTAATTTTGCCAACATTATAGACTTTAAAACAATGTTGAGAAAAGGAAATTATACATGCATGGGATAGCTTTTTAGGCCACAATACATGAATTGTTGACTAGTACATTTTTTTTAAACATTTTATTAGGGGCTCATACAACTGTTATCCCAATCCATACACACATCAATTGTGTAAAGCGCATTTGTACATTGTTTCTCAAAACATTTTCTCTCCATTTAAACCCCCGACATTAGGTCCTCATTTTTCCCCTCCCTCCCCGCTCCCCCCTCCCGCATGAG